GGGGTGTGAAGCTTCGAAGCTCCTTTTCCTTCCCTTTCCCCTCCCTTTTGGCGAGGGGTCCCGTGCACAAACGCTCCCCGCTCAGAGGGGGCAAGCAAAGGTGTCGTGGATCATCTGAACGTATAGACTTGCCTCTGCCAAGCTAAAACCCGTCGGCCGTGCATTAAAAGTTTTAATTGCATGAGGAAATCTTCAGTTAGCTTGCAGCTTTGAAGCGTTTACATCCTTTACCTGACCCAGCTGGGCACTCGTTTTCAGCACCGGCGGTTTGAGGGGAGGTTTCCCGAGGCCGCGGCTCTGCACGTCCCCGTGCCGTGCACCAACCCGGCTGCAAAGCTTCTCCGCACCGGTATTACCAGTGCAAAGGGGCTTTGAGCTCCGTGTTGGTGGCGCGGCGGCTGTGCCGCTGCTCTGAGCCCGACCTGCTGCCGAGCTGCGCTCTCTGCGGGGCTCGCTCGGCCGTCTGAAACCCGACTCTTTTTTCGGAGACTTTTCTTGACCTGCGCTGCCCGTAAATAGAGCGTGTGCCCCCGTAGGTGAGCGCGCCGACCTTCCTGTCCTGACATCTGACATTTTCTCCTGTGTCGCGGGAAGGGGGGAAAGGTTTCGACAGGCACCTCGGGTTTTGAGAGCGTTTGTGGCTTTTCTGTGCTTGCCCCGTGGGGGGTTTCCGCTTTCATCCCCTCTCCCTATGGAAGAGGCACGTTACTACCTTGGGAACGAGCGCTGGTAGGTGGTGGTAGATGGTGAGGGTTGCCGCTTGGCTGGAAGCTGTTTCTCGTTTGAGTTGCGCGGTAGGATTGTGCTTTGCGTTTGTTAACACACCTGGATTCTTGGGCGTTACCGTTGTTCCCTGGAATTAGGTTTTTAGGAGAGCAGAGGTGGCTCTGGAGGTGATAACTGGGCATTGGCTGAATAATTCCATCCGCAGAGTTTTTCTGTAATTACTTTTTTCCCTCTTTCCCAGGAGATTCTCTCCCACCCCAGAACCAGGGGCCTGAAGTGAAGTGTCTTTCCCCAAAAGCATGTTAAATTGCACAGTGAAATACTGGGTTTTTTTTTAAAGGGAGGTGTGGCCCCGGGGGTTGCAGGAACTCTTCCAGGTGCCTTTGGAGCAGGCAGGACCACGCGTGGGTTTGTCTAAAGAAAAACTCGCTGATGGCTGCTCGGTTTGGCCACGCTGGGCATCGTGGGGAGGTCTCAGGGGGCTGCTCGTGGGACGTCTCTACCTGAAGGACTCGCAGCTTCCTGGCTCTCCCCAAACAACCCACAAAATGACTGCTCTTGAACTTGGTGGGCCACGGCAGGGTGGCAAAATAACAAAGTGCTTTCTGTGTCGCCGTGAATCGCCTTGCAGGTCGCGGCCATGGTGTTTTGCTGCCGTTTGCAGGTGGCTGAGGTTGTCCTTCCCCTGGAGATGCCGCGAAGACGCCAGGCCCAGGAGCTGCCGAGCTTTCCCTTGCTGTTTTATAACCATGTTGCCCCTGTGAATATTTAATTCTTTTCTTGCGCCCTGCGATGTGTAAAGCTGACCCTATTACCTGGGCCCTATAGCACAGACACGTAACGGCGTCTGCACGGCCGGAGGTCCCAGCCGAGGGGCTCTTAGCAAAACCCATGGCCGTTGCGATGGCGAAGGATCGCTCCCCGCAGGCAGGGGTGTCACGGTGATGCTCTACCAACGCGTCCGCACACGCAGGTTTGCACCGAAAGCAGCTCTGTTTCCCCAATAGCTGCTTGCAAAAGCAAACTGTCATTTGCTTGATGATTATTCCCGATTAATTGGGTTGGACTCTTGTTCCAGAAATACAGGGATGCAGCTACCCTAAGTTTTTTTTCCCCCTTCTGCAGCTTGCAATAAAATGTGGGTTTCGGGTCGTGGTTATGCGGGGTCTTAGCGAACGCAAATCTAGAGGCTGGATTTGGGGAGGTTTTGCAGGGATGGCTCTGCCGTTCCTCTTGGCAGGTGTCCGAGCGGTGTTAGTGGCTGTGTGGAGCTTGTGGAGCCCTGAAAAGCAGCTTGTGGCATTACAGCAGGCCGCTGTGCTGCGTAATGGGGATCCAGCATCGCGTGAGAGCTCCGCGTGCATGGGAAAAGTGAGTGAAAAAGCCGGGATGACGGCGACGTGCTGGCTCACCGTGCCGGGAGGACACAGTAGAGCTTTTCCTCTTTCTCACCCAGACTCTTTTTGTGCGAGGCAAAGCAAAAACCGAGGTGTCCCAAGGCTGCAGAAGTAGGATTGAATCATTGCCATGTCAAAGCCTACGAGGAAAAGGAGCGCTCGTGTGTGCAGAAGAAGTGCGTCCTGCGTTCCTCCGGCTGCCGGGAGAATTTGTGCAGGGTGTAGCCTTTAAATTAATTTTCCCGTCTGTCTGGGCGCAGCAGGTTAGTGCTGGTCTTCCCCGTCCTCGCGCCGTCTTACAGGGATCAGGAACATCCCTGCTTCGTCCTGCCTCGGCAGCCTGCTCGGGCGAGAAATCCTTCTGCGGGAGGAAACGCCGTTCCTCTGCTAATGAGGTGGAGCTGCAGGGAAGTTCATCCTCCGGGTTGTGTAATTTGCCTAATTAGGTACACGCGCCTTGATGGGTCGTCGATGCTGAGACCGGGGCATCCGCGTGGCTCTGTGTCATGTCTGATAAGTTGGGATTTGGGCGGGTGAGGGCTCTCCTGCTCGGGTTTGGGCAGCAGTGATGGGCGTTACTTGCACAGCGCTGGAGGAAGGGTGGATATTTGGTCTCTTGAGACCAAAGGGTTAAAGCCCTGTTAGGGTGGGAGCTGGTATTTGGCCAGGTTAAGTCCAGTTTTAACTTGGGAAAGGTTTGTAATGTTTGACTAAAGGAAAAAAAAGCTGATTTAACTCCTCCTTGACGGGAGGGGCAGGCGACCTGACTCTTCATCAGGGCTTAGTGCTTCACTACTGCCCTTCAGCGGGACCCGAATAGCTCTGTCCCCCTGCCACGTTTCACCTGGGGGCGGTGGGATGGTGCTGGGTGGCCCCGGCAGCCAATCCGCAGCTCTGCGGTCCCATCCGCGCTCGAGCGCGTTTGCCCGGGCTCTGCTCGTGTGGATGGGTGGGAGGATGTTCTGGTTTATGCACTATGGAGTAATTGCTCTTGGCCATTGTTATGGCTCAAAACAACTGCTGGGAGTCAGCTTCCGAAACAATTTCAATTAAATACGTGTCTGTACGCTCAGGGGTATCGCTGATGGTTTTTAAAGTAACGTTATTCAGCAAGTTCTTGTTGCCACGTGGCCTTTTGAGTGTGGAAAAGTGTCCGAGTTTGCAGGGGAATGGAGACAGCGAGCTTTTTGCATGGTTGCAATGACCTGGAGACATCCTTCTCCCGGGAAAAGTTGGTAGCACGGGGCTTGAACACCCTCGCTTTTCCCAGCCAGCACCGAGAGCGGCGTGACAGCGTCCAGAGGACGAAGAGCCCAAGCTCGTGCCAGCTGGAGCAGCTCCGTGCCGCTCTGTGGCACGGTGTGGAGCTCCCGTATAACTCATCTCGTATAACCTGATGGCCAGGAAGGTGCTTGGGCTGGTTAATGGTTTGTGGCGAAGCCATCCTGATGGCTCTCCAGGGCAGTTCCTCCTGTCGTTAAGGAGTCGTTAAGGCTGGGCAGGAGTTAAATGCAGGCTTTCGGCAAGAGGCAGACCTGTAAGGTATAAAAGAGGTGCCTGCAGTTGTCTCAGAAACCTGGGTCTGGTCTCTCCCACGTCCCGTGGTGTGGGGACCCACGACGTGGGCTGTGCCGCCAGTGACGTGCAGTATCTTCTGACCCCCGTGGGCATCCCAAGCTCTTGGTTTGGGTCAGGGCTGGCTGGTTGTGCGGTGCCCAGCACAACGGGCTCTTGGGTCTGGGGGCTTGTCGATGAAAGCTTTGGGAAAAGCTGGGGGTCTTCCTCCTGCTGCCTCCGTGCCAGAATGGCTCTTTCCATGTCGGAGCCTGCAGGATTTGCTCCACCGAGATGCTTGTGTGTGTCATGCAGCAGTTGCAGCTGCGGGAGGGAGGGTTTGGAGCTCTGACTCTGCGTCCCCCCCCTTCTGATGTGCCCCGCAGTCTCTGCCTCCACTTTAGCTGACACTCCTGCTCGCTGGGGCGGTGGGGGGCTTTTATAAGCACAGGGGAGGCGATGGCAAAAAAATTGGCGTCCTTGACCTGAGCAAGACTTCAAATTCCTGCCAAGCCTCTCCTGGAGGGCAAACAAGCCCCTGGCCGCTCTGCTTGGAGCAGGGGAAAGGGTTAGGGGCCAGTTCGCTGGCGGAGGTGAGCAGGCCAGTACCACGAGGAAGAGGATGGGCGTTTATCGGCGCGACACGGATGTCGTTCTGCAGGCGTCTGTCTTGTGCATCAGTGCAGAGCTGCTGCAAAGTGGCGCAGGAGTCGCGCTGCCGGAGGAGCTGGGCTCCAGTCTGAAACACAAACTCTGTTGTCTCTTAGCTTCGAAGCAAGAAATGTGTGGGTTTTGGGAGGGTAGGGAGGCTAACTTGAAAAAAGCTTTAGCAAGAGCAGGTGTCAGGTCCTCTTCTCAGACTACTCAGTCTGCTTTAATGCTCCTTTGCAGTTCTGTAGAGAGATGTCAGGGTATGTGGGGGGGGGTGTTTAACTAAAAAAAGCATAAAGCTCTTCCAGGAGGAGGAACTAAATACCAAATGCATCATCCCTCTGTAGCCAGAGCTGAAATGAATCTGTCTTGACAAATCTCTTTGCAGCGACGTCCTTGCCCTGCCCATCTTCAAGCAGGAAGAATCAAGTTTGCCTCCTGAAAACGAGAACAAAATTCTGCCTTTCCAGTACGTGCTGTGTGCCGCCACTTCCCCTGCCGTCAAGCTCCACGACGAAACACTCACCTATCTCAACCAAGGTGAGAGAAGCCCTGTGTCCTCCGCAGGCCGTGCACGCCTCGTGTAAACACCCCGAAAAAGAAAATTCTGCCTTTGGAAATTCCCCCTTGGGAACGGAAAGCGCCTTGATAGTAAACCCCAGGTTGCTCTTGTTTGGAAGCACCACCTCCTTCGCCTTGCTGCCTGCCCTCTGCTTACGGCGGTGAATCGCCTGTAGGATTTAACCTAATTAAAATCTGCACGGTGTAAGGTGGTTAACTGGTGTATCCGTGCCGGGGTGCTCTGCAGCGGGTGCGTTTTACAGGTTCAAGCTGTACCCGCTGCTTTTAAGTAGAACTGGAAGATCAGGGTTGGCGACCAAAGCCAGATGAAGCTTGTGTAATCGATTTCTTCCCCGTTCTTGGTCTTGGGTTAATAAGGGTAATTCCTGGAAAGTACTGCTGCAGGAAGGGGGAGGATTATCTGTTCCTGGAGAGGGATGTTAGAGCTGTGGCTCTAATGGCTTGTGCTCCTATGACCCCCCACTAAAACATGGCCAGAAGATCAAGTGGCATGTCTGGTGTGGCAGAAGATGTCAAAGCGCCAGAGGAGGGGCGGCAGCCAAGGTCCATCCCCAGACTAACCACCAGGTGCCCTTGTCGTCTTTCCCTCAGGGCAGTCCTATGAAATCCGGATGCTGGACAACAGGAAAATTGGGGAGTTGCCAGAGATAAATGGGAAACTGGTAAAGGTAAGCGGAGAGCACGGGTACACATGTCCAGCTGGAGCCGTCCCCTGCCGTAGGGAGCAGCGAGCGAGGTCTTGGCCTGCGTTCCTGCAGCGGCCTCCATGACAGCGTGTGTGGGATAGGTCTGGCTTGGCTGGGGGGTTATTTTCCCTTTCCCCTTCTCCCACCCTGTTGAGACCAGCCTGGCTGGTGGTGTCCAACCAGTCTCCGGGGGTCAAGCCAAGAGGCGATTGCTGATCGCTTAGCGTTCGGGAAGGATAAGCTGCCGTCTTCATGCTTCTGTCCCAGGGGTCCTTCTGGGCTTTCTTTGTCTCCTCCCTGAAGCCTTCAGGCCCCTCAGCTCCCCTCTGCGACTGGGAAATGCCTCGCAGCTTGAAGACTGTCGGGTTTCCTGGGGCAGCCCCAGGCACTGACTGTTTTTCCCTTCTAGAGCATATTCCGGGTGGTGTTTCATGACCGACGGCTGCAGTACACAGAGCATCAGCAGCTGGAGGGCTGGCGGTGGAACAGGCCTGGGGACAGGATACTCGACATAGGTGAGTCCCCGTGGCAGCACCTTGGCTGGGGCTGGAGGAGATGTGGGTGCCTGAAGTGCCTCCGGCTGGGCTCCCGGTTCCTTGACTTTAAGGGACAAAACGCCGTCATGATTCTGTACTTTGAGAGACATGGTTGGTTCTTCCGTTGGTATGTTCCCTGTGAATCTCTTCCTTCTCCTTCTACTACAAACCGCAGCTTGTTCTCCGTATGTGCCCCTACAGATATCCCAATGTCCGTGGGCATCATTGACCCTAGAGCAAACCCAACCCAGCTCAATACAGTGGAGTTTCTATGGGATCCTTCAAAGAAGACTTCTGTGTTTATCCAGGTAAAAGAGGAGAAGTGGGGAAACTCCTGTTGCGGGGGCCTAGGGGGAAAAAATAAAAGTTTTCCAAGGGGGAGGGAGGTGCTTTTTTGGCTCAGAGCTCTGAAATAGCAGCCAGATGCTACAGTGGTAGAAGGATGTCAACCGAAATACAGCCTACCTCCTGCCTCAAGCAATGCAAGAGAGCAGCAGTTCATGCGCTAGCAAGGCACAGGCACAGCTGACCACCAATAAGTTGTTTTATTACACATTTTTGTGGTGGTTTAGGTCCCGCTGGTTTCGTGATTTGGGTCTCCATCTTGCTTAGATGCTTTTGCACATCTCGCCAGCTGCCTAAAATACCTCTTGAAGTCTGGCCCTCCCGCCTAGAATAAACAGGCTGCAGCGTGTGGAGGCTGGTGCAGCCGAACTCTCTGCCCTGCTGATCCAGGGCTTGCCTGTAACATGGAGAGGTTGCAAAACTCGTTGGAAGAATGTGGCTCCACCTCTGCTGTGGCATCCCCTTAACTCCTTAACGCTGGGGGTACTCGGTGTGGTCCCATCCCAGCTCTGTATTTCGCCCTTCTCACCAGGTTGCCCTTCACGTGAGCGCCGTCCTGGCTCCCACGAGGGGAAAGGGAAGTTTGTGGTCAGTCAAACACGGCAGAATTACTAATTGCAGGATGCCTTGCCTTCCCCCAGGTTCACTGTATCAGCACGGAGTTCACCATGCGGAAGCATGGAGGAGAGAAGGGGGTACCTTTTCGGGTCCAGATAGACACGTTTAAGGAGAACGAGAACGGGGAGTACACGGAGCACCTGCACTCTGCCAGCTGCCAAATCAAGGTCTTCAAGGTACCTTGGCCCGTTGGTGTCCTTTCCCCACTCAGAAACAAACTGGGAGTCAGTCCCAGTTCACGCTGCAGCCCCAGTGAATGTCACGGGTGCAGGACGGTGGCCAAGCTTGCCTGCAGAAGGGCCCCTTGGTCCTTCTGGTCTTGCGTTGCCGTTCTCTCCCTGGTTCCTCTCTGTCGATCGAGTCTGGATGCCGTCAAGGCTACAAAACCAGTAAGCCAAGAAGAACGTACAGGGAGAACATTGGTTGTGCTGCCTCTGACTGAAACCTCCCACGTTTAGTCCTGAGTCTTATCAGCTTGGGAGATCCTCCGAGGAGCTTTGGTGTCTGTCTAAACTCCTTGCTTTATTATTACCTGCATCTGATGGTCCGTCTGGATCTGGCCTCTCCAGCAGCGCAGGCGTCTGGTGCGAATCGTTTGCAGAAACCCAAAGCCGCGGCCTGGGGGCGGCAGCCACGGCAACACGATGGCGTGGGTGGCTGAGAAGGGTCGTGCACGCAGCAGCGCCCAGGTGTCGTGCCGCGGGGGCGGCTGTGCGGGGAATAAGTGGGGGCATGCCGTGCCCGCGCTGTCTGGCACGCTGAGGTTGCCTCCGTTGCCCCGTCCTCCCTGTAACACCACGTGAAACCTTGGCCGTGGCTCCTCTGTTCTTCTCCCTCCAGGGGCACTTGGCACGCAGCGGGGTCGGTTGCCCGGCCGGGCGCCTGTGCTGCTTTGCAGTCCTGCCGTGAAGTAGCTGTGGGATATCGGGCAGCATGACCCGCTGCTGTTGACTTGGCATCTTTCCCCTTCTCTCTCTTCTCTTTTGCCTATTTGGATTATAACATTTCGAAGGCAGGGGTGTGATTTGTTAGGGCTTGTTAGAGCTCTGGCTGGTATCTCGATGCGAATAGCCTAAGCGGATGGCTGCGGAGTTGGGAGTTAAGGGATAAAGCTGGTCGCAAACGAGCACCCGGAGAACAGTGAGACTGCGAGGCATCTGGCGCTGTGTTTCTACTGAGCTTCAGTTCTGCGTGCCAGGGGGTGGGGTGGGTTTTTTTGGCTCTGATGACCTTGAACCAGGAAAACCCAAAGCAGTGAAGCTGTGGCTTCAGGCACGGTCTCCCTGCAGAGGATGGTCTCAGCCTTCTCTCCTGCTCGTTTGATGCAGCCGCTCTCCTGGGGTCGGGGCTGCTGTTTGGGCAGCAGGCTCAGCACCGTGGGTGTGTTTCCCTGTGCCTGTGCGAGACCTGTTTGCCGCAGGCTGTCCTTCGTCTGGGGGTTAATGTGATTCGGGCTCCTGCCCTGCTCTTTCCTTTCTCCCCTCTGCCCCTCAAAGTTGGGAGCATTTCAGTGCTTTCAAAATAGCCACTGAGGGCCCCTTACTCACGCTCATCGGTGCCTGGAGCAGAGATCCTTTCTAGCCTCCAGAGAAGCACGCTGACCATGGAATGATAAGAGCAACCATTAGATTTTCACAGCAGGAACTGGCTAGTCAAGCCACAGCTAAGCAGCACCTCCTCACCCAGCTCAGAGCATGGTGGCAGCTTGTTCAGGTCTCAGTTTTGCTGTCCAGAGGAAAAGAAATTTGGAGCTTGGGGGAGCAGGAAGGCTGTGGTGGCCGGCTGTATTTGCAGTCCTAAAACTTTCCCGCCGGTGCCATGGATGCCACTCACCCTCTCGGGAGGCGTCCGCATGTTGGCAGGCAGCTGTGTTGGTCCACCGAGGCCAAATTCCTTTTGCTTGCGAGTGCAGGCAGAGGAGCCAAGGCAGAGCCCGCGCGCAGCCAAGTTCTAAGGGAATTTCTTTAGGGTTCTGCCGAGGGGAGCACCGGGATAGCTTTGGTGGTTATCACGGCACTCTCTTACTTGCTGTTTTCCCCAGAGCTTTCAGCATTTGATAAAGGCAGCAAGTAAAATCATCTTAATCTTGCATACGAGAAAGTGCATGGTTTTTCAAGGTCGTGGCAAAGGCAAGGGCATAATTGAGCTCTCTCGTGTTCTGGTGCAGTTTGTGCCACTGAAATGCTGCTTCTCAAAGTGGTTGATGAAGGTGCAGAAGACGCAGCTCAGATATGTGACACCAGAAACTGGCCTTTGTCCCCCTAGAGGCAACGTATGCTGTCGGGAGAAGTTTCTTCTGAAAAACGTTTCCCCTCCTTGTTCAGATGTTCTGGGCCCCATTTTAGGGGCGTGGGTAGATCAGGATACCGGGGTTGTTAGAGAAGTAATGCTGTCACCGTAGTTAATTCTCTGTGCAGATAGTCCCAGCCCTCTTCCTTTTCCCTCTGCAAAGCAACAAGGGGGTGAGTAGAAGGATGAGTCACCTTTTCTGCTTCTTGCATTTCTTGCACATCTATCCAACTGTCTGCTGCCGCCCTTCCATGCTGCTGTTCTAACAGGAATATCTCCTTTCCAGCCCAAAGGAGCTGATCGGAAGCAGAAGACGGACAGGGAAAAGATGGAGAAGCGGACGCCTCATGAGAAAGAGAAATACCAGCCTTCTTATGAAACCACGATACTCACAGAGGTGGGGTGTTCTTTCGTGCAGCGGCTGGCGTCGTTGTTTTAACGAAACCTGGCTTACCTCGCTCGCAGGTGGCAAGGAACTGGCTGTTCTGCTGTGAAACGTTTGGCCAAGTTGTTAATAGCTGCAAGACAAAAGCAAGATAAATTTTGTAGGCAGAGGAGGTGTTTCTTACTAGACCTGAAAAAGGGCCCTTGTGCCTGGAAACATGATGGTTTTTTCCTCACTGTAATAGATCATCTAATAAAAGATTTTTACCTCTCCCTGCAAGCTTTGTTTTGCCCATGTGGCAACTGGCCCCTGGGGTGGTGAGCTGGCAGAAAACCCCGTTGTTTCCTCCTTGTGCTAGTGGAAAGTGTCGGTCTGTTAAAATGCGATCGTCTGAGGGGTCGGTGCTGAACAGCCCCGGGGAGGGAGCCCTTGTCCTGCCCCAGGTGAATTCGGGGATGCTTGTCAGTGCCCGATTCAGGCTCGGTCCGCTGTGGGGCTTGCTGCACGGAGATGCCCCGGCTGGCAGGCGCCGTGTGTGTCAGCCCAGTGCCAGAGCAATGGTTTAGATCCCAGACCTCACTGTGTTAGAATTTTGTGACTTTTGAGATTAAGAATCACTAAATCTGAGCTTTGTGACCATCTGCAGTGGATTGGCGTGACTTCTTTTAATCCCCTACTTTATTCTTTAATTCTATTTCGTAGTCGGTTGTTGGTCAGCAAATAGCTGTTAACCTGTGCTGACCAGAGCAGATGTGCACGCTTGTTCAAAGCCATCCTGTGACTCTTCTGGGTTTTCCTTTCTAGTGTTCTCCCTGGCCAGAGATAACGTACGTCAATAACGCGCCATCCCCTGGCTTCAACAGTTCCCACAGCAGTTTTTCCATTGGCGAAGGGTAAGTCCAGAGGAGAGGCTGGCCGGCTCTCGATTTCTGCCTTCCACGAGAGATTGATGTGTCTGAGCTGGCAGTGACCGCTAGTGAAAGGGCGGGCCTGGTTCCAAGGTGTACAGGGGGTGGAAGCAGCCTAAGAGGCCGTGTCAGTGGGGGAAAAGCAAATTAAAGCCCTTGAAGCTGAGCGCCATTAACCTCTCCCGGCTGCAGCAGAGCTCGGCTCTTGCACCAGAAGCCTGTGTGCATTTGAGCAGCGGTTCAGCTTCCAGCCTGCTTCGCTCTGTCTTCATCATGTTAATACTCCCACACAAGCCGTTCATTCTTGCAAAGTATTGCGCTGCAACAGTGGCGGTGTTGCTGCAGCCACGTAGCCGTCTATCCCTGGGTTTCGGTGGTCGTGGTTATGGGACTTGGAGGGTGGTGGTTGCTGCCTGCCGGGATCCCGTGCCAGAAGGGAAGGAGCCGCGCTAACCTCGTGTTCTGCTCTGTCTGGCTCTCTTCCCCAACCTAGCAATGGCTCTCCAAACCATCAGCCCGAGCCACCCCCTCCGATCGCAGATGTAAGTCACACCTCAGAGCTTATGCTTGTGGTAAGGATGGTGCACAGGTCAGAAAACGGGATTTTGGGATGGAGCGGGGGTGGGTTCGAGGGTGGCTGTAGTTTGCTGGGGAAGAAACTGCTCTAGCTTAACATCTTTGGGGAGTTATAACTTCTTTTTGACTCCTAGTTGGAAAAAGAGGTCACAGGGTGAAAAATGTCCAGTACAGCGATGCGGAGCTGTGAGCAAGCTTTTTGTAGTTCGCTGTGACCTTTACTTATTGCCTTGATCTTCATTGTGCTTTCCCCTTTGCTTCCTTCTTCTTTCTCTGTCCCTCTGAAGCCTTTTAAATCAAAACCTGTCCAGGCTGCAGCCTTGATTGTGCGCGTGCTGCGAGCCTGGCTCACTAGGGTCTTGATTTAAGACTGTGATTATAAACACTGACTGAGCTGTGTTCGTTCCCCAGTGGAAATGCTTCCCCGTCACCTCTGAGGCCGTGACCCTTCTTTTCCTACGTTGCAGAACCTCTTGCCCACCAGCACACCCCAGGAGGCCCAGCAGTGGCTGCACCGAAACCGCTTCTCCACTTTTTCTCGGCTTTTCAGAAACTTCTCAGGTAAGTTACGACATCCCCTCCGTGTCTGCCCCTTCTCTGTGCTGAGTCGCTCTGCCTCCTCTTGCTCCTGAGGCCATCTCCGTGTTACCGTTGCACAAATAAATGTTTTTAAAAATCTCGTCTTTTTTGTAACACAATAAAACGTGGCTCCCTGAAAGCTGTGTTCTTCATTTCTCACCTTGCTCTCAGCTGGCAAAATAGTGGGGACTGGGGTGGTTTCTCTTCCAAGAGCTCGCAGCACCCTCCGATCTTAAAACCAGCTGAGAAATGCTGATCTGAGGGAAAGCACTGTGTGTAAAGAAATGCTTCGCATTTATTTTCCTCTCCTTCCCTGGTGATACGGCCTCCGTTATCCAGGGTCGCCGAGGTGCTGGATAGCCGGCTGTAAATGATAATGCGGGACACAGGGTTGTGCCGAAACACGCTCTTGCAAAACCAGTCTGGAAAAAAATCTTGCGAGCGTCCTTCTGGGGGAAGCAGGGGGAGGGTGTTAGCAGAAGGCAAAAGCAATTTGGGAACGGGGTGAGCTCTGCGAGCGGGAGGAGGGGAAGCCGGCACAGCTGCGGTGCCCAGAGCCCCCCCTCACCCCGGACACTTTGGGCTGGATTGTGTGACTTTCTCTCCTTTTGATTTTTAAAACTGTAGGTGCAGACTTACTGAAGCTGACCAGAGAAGACGTTATCCAGATCTGTGGCCCTGCAGATGGCATCAGGCTCTTCAACGCGTTAAAAGGACGGTATGTTGTTTGCTTAAAAGCTGATTGTGGATGGTAGGTAAATTGTATTTGTTTTAGCCTGTTTGCTTGGCTCTTGCTATTAGAGAGAACAGAGTTTCATTAACCTTCCTGAACCTCTTTCAGTCAAATTTGATAACTTAGCCAGCAGGGTAACCGCTCCAGAGACAATTTGGGGAAGAAAATCCATGTGGGAGAGAAGCGTTAGAAATTATCTTACTCTTTGAGTGTCAGAGAATCCAGCCACAAGCCAGAAAGTCCTGCTGATACAGTACTTGTTTCCTCTCTCCTCTGAACCGCCTCTCAGTGGAATTACCTTCCCAGAAAGGGAATATTCCTTTGCACCTTTCCCCGAAGAAGCAGGGACTGGTGTTTCACTGACCTCCTGTCTGAGCTGGAGCATTTCAGAAGGCGCTGCTGCAGCCGGCCAGAGAGGCACAGGGCACAGGGTGGGCTGTATCTGGGAGGGAAGGTCTGGGGAGGCATCGGTGCGGGTTTCTGATATGCGGCTGCAAGAGCTGCAGGGGTGGGAAGCATTCCAGGGGGTTAATGTACTGCCTCCGATGGCTGGGGAGATAGCGGGGGAAACGCAGTCGCGCTGCGCTGGGGAGAAGGGCAGGAAGGACGGGAGACGCTGCCGGCTTTTGCACTGCAAAATGAGACTCTGAACGAGAAGGAGCGTGCGTGTTACCAGCAGAGCTCGGTGTGGACCACGGCCACTCTGTCCTCGGGAGCGGACCGTCCGAGTTAGCTGCTCGGTAGCCAGCTGGCACCATGTCCCCATGCCGACTTCGTCCCCTTCTCACAAAAACCTTTGCTGCATCAGCAAGGTGGGGACAACCACGATGGTTTTGCTTCAAGATGAGTTCGTCGATCTCCTCTTTTCCTTCTGAGGATACTGGGGAGGGAAGAGCGCTGGCAAAGTGTCGGGAGCTAGAGGCGTCCTTGAGCAGATCCGATGGCATGCACTCACTGATCTGTCCATAGGATGGTGCGGCCCAGACTGACCATCTACGTGTGTCAGGAGTCCCAGCAGCTGAGGGACCTCCAGCAGAAACACGAGGACGGGGACACAGTAACCAGTACTTTTTTTGGTAAGGGCTTCAAAGCCTGGCTGGGGGCACGTGGGCTTGGGTTGCTGCCGACAGGGCGAGGGGGGAAAAATAACAGCCGGGGGGTTCAGCAAACCGAAATGCGGCGGGGGCTGTTTCCAGCCCTGCTGCTGCTGCCCACGGCGCTCAGCACCAGCTGCCTCCGATCCCCTCGTCCGCACACCACACTGCCCTGTGGGGTTTGGGCTGGCGAAAGGCCACTCTCGCAGCCAGGGCTGCTTGTGTTAGCAGAGCCCACTGAACCCGCACAGCGGCTCGAAGAGGGTCTGTGGCTTTTCCTTTCAGCTGCTGCGCCTCGCGTTGGCTGCTGTCTCTTCTCTCTTCACTGCAAGGAGGCAGCGAGCTCATGTGCGAGCTCACCTGCAACCTAACGCAGGCTCTGTACACAAACCGACAGGTTGTGCGTGCTCCCCTTTGGTAAGGGTGCCAAAAGATCGCGGCAAACCCTTTTTACTTGCCCTGGTCCTACCCAGCTGATTTTTCTCCTTGCCCACCAAACGGGTGGCTGCAGAATCTGACTGTCGGCATGTTGCCTGCTCTGAGCCGAAAAATGATAGCTCCTGCGAGAATCCAGCATTGCTCAGACAACAATGAGTGACCTACATTTGTGGAGCAGCCAGGCGCCGGTTTATCCACCTCCGTGATTGGAGCGGCGAGCACAAAAGCAAACAGCTTGTCGTTTCCTTGCCCTGCTCCAATTCAGATCCTCTCGCTTCCCCCCAGGACCTGCCCTTGTGGGAGTGGGGGAATGGGGGGGGCTCTGGGGAGGTGCTAGGGCGGCGTTTCCATCCTGCTGGGATTGAAAACCGCCGGGAATGGTACGAAATGCTGCTGGGCTGACGCTAGTCAAAATAGAAGCTTTTTGGGGCAAGGACTGCATAAATACCGAGCAAGCATTGCAGGACATTGATGACGGCCAGGTTACTGTGGAGCTGAGGCTCATGTAGCTCCGGGCATGCTGCAGCCGTGCAGCAAGAGCAGACACCAGAGACACGCTACATGTAGATTTAGCAGCTTGGGCTTGGAAAGATGGTAGCTGTGTGAGTCGGGCGCAGCAGAGCGGGTGTTTAACCTGCTGAAAAGCAACTCTGGATAGATGGGCTGTGCACAGTCCCTCCCCGACGGGGCTGTGATGTTCCTGGGCAGAGAGCAGCCTGTTCGCTGCACGCCTCTAAGCATCCGCTCCCTGGGTTAGCGCGCGTGGCGTTAGCTGAAGCGTCTCCGCTTCAGTGTAGACATCAAAGCTGCGCTTGGCGTCTAGCTAGAACAGTTCTTCTCCTCGCAGTGTACCACGCTATTTATCTGGAGGAACTGACGGCGGTGGAACTGACAGAAAAGCTGGCCCAGCTCTTCAGCATCTCTTCCCAACAGATCAGCCAGATTTACAAGCAAGGTCCGACGGGGATACACGTGCTGATCAGCGATGAGGTAACAGCCTCTGGGTGCTCCTTATTTTCGACCTCTTGCGCTGGGTTGCTTCAGCTGGTTCGTGTGATTGTGCTCTGAGCTCCGCTGTGGAGGTTGCGCAGGACCCCGGGGAACGGGTCCCCCGGGCAGGTTTTCAGGAAGGGCCCTGCTCAGTCGCCTCCCGTTTCCAAAGGGTCGGAGTTAATCGTTGAAGCCTGTAGAGCCACGGATGTTGGCGCCTGGGGACGCTGCTCTGCTGCCGGGGGCACCTCACTTAAACCCGTGAGGTTTATCAGGCGTGAACAGCTCTCCCTGAGCTAGTCCAGGTTGCGTGCACACCCTCCTTCATGCTTGGGTTTCTTCTAGCTTTGCTATAAAAACAGGGAGGGGAATTGCTGTGAGAGCACTTTGCTTTCAGACCTGCATCCCAGAATCCCATGGTTTCTCTCTCGGCTTGCTGGTTCGGACATTCAGTTCTGGAGAGCTGGAGGAAGGAATAAATATTTATGGCTGGTGCCTTTCCTACCTCCCAGAGCACTAAGCTCCTGCCTGAGCAGCTTCTAGCCCTTTGGTACTCTAAATCTGTGCCCATCGCTGAACGGCAGAACACAAAGCCTTCACTTGGGGCTGTGAAGCACTTCTGCTGTGGTTAAATACAACCTCAGACTAAGCTGGCTTTCGTGGCTTCTTTCAGATGATACAGAACTTCCAAGACGAATCCTGTTTCGTTCTGGACACCATGAAAGGTGCGTAAATGCCCAGGCTGCATCTTCTGTTTCCCTTCCTTACTTCTTGGGGAGCTCTTGTGTCAGATCCGCTCAACCCAGCGGATTCCTTTGCTGTTGCGAGTGGCTCATGAGCTTTGCTTCTTTTGCAGCTGAAACCAATGATAGCTACCACATCATCCTAAAATAGGAGGGGACGGTATGAGGAACACCCGTGATCCTCTCATCGCACACGAAGACCCTTCACTTCCAGCACAAGGACACGAGCAGAGATCTGGAAACTCCTGGGCACCCTCTGGAAAGACCCCGAGCTGTTGGTCACTCGGCTGTCTTTCTTGCAGGGGGCCTCCTTGCTCTGACGGCATCTAAACGGCCGTTGATGGTAACGTGCTGCTTAATTGCTGGAGCTCTGAGGCTTGAAGTTACCAGGTCGCACTCTTGTGTAGCTCTCGGTAGAAATTTGCCATTGGGACCCAAGACCTGCGTGAGGGCTTTTTATGTGGCAGGTGTGCTCTGCTTTTCTGAGAGGCATCGGCTCCCATGACGCTCGCAGACTGGCAAGAGAACATGAATCAAACTGGCCCAACAAAGCCAGCTGGCCCTCGGGCACGTGCTGAGCTGAGCAGGTCTCAAATACGCTGCGTACTGTGCTGATGGAGTGGTAGGCTAGGGCTGGGAGGGATTTTCTTAAAAGATTTTGTTAAGCTTTCATTTAATATTACGACGCGTCTGTTAGACAAAGGTGGTGACTTCGTTTTTCTCCTCTCCACCCACCCCGAAAATGGCGTTGGCTGTGTTTGTGTGCGGGTGTGGTGCCATCCTTCCCTTGCGAGTGTAAGGTCGTCAGGAACTTTATAGACAGATTTAGTTGTATAAAGCCGGAGCAAAACGTGGAGTAAAGCGGAGTTGGATAAAGAAACAGCTAACTAGCTTGGTCTGTGGGATTCTTTTCTGCATGTTTTAGGGAGGAAAAAAAGACTTGGCTACCTCTGCTGAAAACTTGGAGCCATGTCTACCCGCTGCCTCGTTTTCTGCCCCTGCGTCCCCCTGCCCGGCCTCCATCGCTGCCCCAGCGTTGGTGTAGCCCTGCGCGCACTAAGGAGGCGGCGGACAGCAAGTTCAAAGGGTTATTGAAAGCCCTTGGACTTGATGGCGACAAAAGTGCTTCTGTGCAGGTTTCCAGGACAGCGGTGAAGTCTCCAGGGTGAAGGATCTGCCCTGCCGTGCAGGTGGTGGATCCTATTCCCCGTCCGTAGGATCCCTCAGTAGAGACTGAGATGCCCGGGGTGACGCCTGCCTCTGACCATCAGCACTACCCGAGGATGTTTAGAGCCAAAAAATAGGGGGAAAATACAACATAAAGCAGGGCTCTTATTTTTAAATAAGGCTGCAGCGAGATCCAGCCCCAGGCAGGTGATGCAGGTCCGGGGAGGGCCCGTGGGGGGAGTGAAGGCACTGGTGGGTGCGACAATCACGACGGCCGCGTCCCTGCTGCTAAAATACCAGCTGCTCTTCTGTGTTTGTAAGCCATAAAAGATTCTGTTCCCATCTTCCTCGGCCAGCTGTCGTCGTCTTGGAGGTGCAGTCAAGATACCTAGCACAAATTAGAGCTGGTTCAGTCCTGGCCAAACCTTCCCATCCTTCGCTTGCGTTGGCCGAGCTCCCGCGGCCGCTGCTTGTGACTCCATCCTGGCGCGAAGGACCCCGTAGCGTCCCCGTCTCCCTTCCCCATCGCGCGTGACGCTGCTCGGCGCGCGCTTGCTCCGGCGCCAAAGGCAGGACGTAGGTCGGCAGCTCCCCGAAACCGTTGTTCAGGACTGCGGCGGCTCCCCCTCACCCCCAAAACTGCCTGCCAGCTGCATCCAGGGCTGGGTAGCGGCAG